TTTTTTTTTTTGAGATATAGTTTCTCCCTCCATTTTCTCTTCTCTACATCAAGTAAGACAGTTAGCAGGTACTGGACAAGGAACCTCTGTCTCCCTGATCTCAAGTTCCACACTGAGGGACTTGGGCCAGAAGAACGCTGCCAGCATTCCTGGCTCCTTTACTCTCCCCTTCCCAAGTCGCTTCCCAATAAGCAACACGTCTTATTGGTGATATACCTAATTGGTGACTGCAATGTGTGCTTGGCTCACTGGCTTCCAAGTTTCCTCCGTCCCATCTCCTGCCCTCAGGATGTACACATTATCTGCTCTCTGCCCAGGGAAAAGCTCCCTGGAATAGATTTCTGGAGAATGAGTTAACAGAGCTCTGCCGGTGGCTGCCTAATACTTCCTAATTCAGGGGTAAAGTGTTAGGAAGTCCACAGTGAACACAAATAAAAAGCCACTTTCTCAAATCACCTTACTGAGTATGAAAGCTAACATTTTTTTTATCTCTTCTTCCATCTCCTGTGTCTCCTTCCTCAAGTGGATCCAAACTCAAGAAGAAAATATGTGGGTGGTATCTTATTTTCCTGTTGCTGCCAAAATAAATTACCACAAGCTTAGTGACTTAACACAATACAAATTTACCATTTGATGGTTCTGTAGTTCACAGGTTCTGGGGATTAGGATGTGGACATCTTAAAGGGCCACAGGTTACAGGCTGTCTGATACCCCATTTGCAGGCTCAGAGCTCTCTACTTTGAGAAAGCCGTGGAATGGCAGGAAGTAGCATTAGCTGCACAAACAGATCCTTTCCAGATTTTGTTTTCAAAAGCTTAAATCCATTGTAGAGGTTGTGCTAGGTGACTTGGAAGATTTAAAGAGAAAGTGTACTCAAAGGCAAACAGGGAGGCAGGACCTCAGCACCAGGTTCCCAGACCTAGAAAAGATCTCCATTCCCCGTGGGAATGTATGAAAACAGAACCACCAGACTTCATGGAATCACTGTGGCTTGGACAATGCCAGTGACTGGAACAGACAAAAGCACAGGCCCTTCTCCCATTTGCTAAATCTTCATTAGAGGGACTTGCTCAAAATAAGTACAACTTTGATTCTCCTTTTCATTCAGAAAAGTTTCCTATTGGGCTGGTTTAGAAAATCATGAAGGAAAACTGAAGGAGATGGATGAGAACAAGAGAGAGGAGGAGCAGAACCGTAGACAATTTCTTGAAAAGCAATATTAAAACATTTGAATTTAAAGAATAAATCACTCTTTCTCAGTGCATGGAACAAAGCCACACATTGTTCAGTTTCTCTAGCCAAACGAGATACAAGGTGCCAGCTGGCTGATCTTAAGGCTAATTGATATGATGTGTAGGCACAGAGATAAGATTGATAGAGATGAAAATATATATATATATATTTTAGAAATAAAGGTTATTATCTGGGGGTCCTGGCTGAAATAGGGCAACTGTATGTTTCCTATAAGGAAATCTGAGTTAACCTAAGAATTCTGACTTGCCCCTTAATCTGGTCCTGGTAGAAAGCAGAGAAATCCAGAGAGGACTGTCCTTTGGTGGATGCCCTAGATAAATAGTGAAATGAAGCATGACAGCTGCATGGTGAGAAGTCGGACTTTACAGAGTTCATTTGCAGCTCCCTGCAGAGGCCTTGGGGCTTTGAAATGGAGCGAGGGGCTCTTTTGCTCCTCGGTCCAATAAAGGAGCAGAGGGGTGGTTAGTTCAAAGGGGTGAGCAGGAACCCTTATAACCTGCATGTGAGAATAGGTAAGATTCCTGTCTACTTTTCTAAGATTGCAATTTGGATTCAGCTTTGAGTTTGTATCAGCATGAAGGAGAAGGCTCTGTGTTGGGCTACTAGCTGCAAGTGCACAGTTTAGATTTTTTTTTTCCTCCAATACTATTTTTGTTAGACCTTTGCTCCTGAAGATAATCCTGCCTTTATTCTTAGTTGGTAGCACAGTTATTTGTCAGCTATTTATTTATGGCTATCTAGCATCCTATCTATATCCCTTCCAATCAGCATTCTATCTTCTGAGGTGCTTAGAATACTGTTATAAAGATGAAGAAACTGAAGCTTAAAAAGATTAAGTAATTTTTTTAAGCTAACAGTAGTTTCTTTCTTTCCAATTAGATCACAAAGTAAAAACTCAGTTCCAAAAGTACTTTGTGAAAGATAAACAGCTGTTTACTAAGTACAGAAAGATGAAAGGAACATGGCAATGACTGCCAACACTAAGGAATTCTTGCAAATTAAATAGTAACAGGGCTGCTCACTTGCCACATTCAAAGCCCCATTACTAAAGGAACTCTGGGAACTCATAGTTCGAATCATTTGGTTGTACAATATTTACTTGTATTTTTGGCTTTAAAAAGAAAAGTCTTACCTAGTGTTAAATGTGAATGAAATTATATAAGTGGTACATCAAGTGTCTGCTATAAATTAACTCTGAAACATGAGAAGATCCTAAAAAGGACTAAGGAATCCAAGTTAATGAAGTTTGAATAGTTTGGCACTAACAATAATTCAACCAAGTTTCTTTCAGTTTTGAATACTTTCCCTATAGGTTATCTGTCTCCATCCCCCAAAAATGGGGAAAAAAGAAATGTGAACATATATATCTTGAGGACTTCTAAAATACTTTTAATTCATCCTTCTTCCTGCACCTACTCCACCATACCTGTTTGCACTAGAATCGAGTTGTATGTTAAATTAGAAACATTTATTTAAGCTGTTACTTGTCTACAGTGCTCTGGAAACATAAAATATCATAAAAATGCAGTATCTGCTGTCAAAGGAATAGCACTACCTAATTTGTTCCCTCCGGCCCATCTCTCCGCTATTTTTGTGAGATATAAACGGAAACAGCCACATCAATGAGAGGAGCCTCATGCTTAGAGACTCTGTGTGTGCAACTAAGACTCTCTCTCCAGAGTCCACTCCCAGCTCCCTCACTCCATGCTCACTACTAATTCACTCTGCTTTTGAGTCCTGCTGCCAAAGGAGCAGAAAGGCTTCAGAAAAAGAAAGTGGCTTCTAGCAGCAAAGTGCACGGTGCCCCCTAGCTGGAGACATATCCGGCAGCCCCCTGGCGTGGAGCTGCCACCCACGTGCAGCAGAGGATAGAAATGGCTGAGCCTGCAGGCTCGGCTGACTAGAGGCAAGGTCCTCGATTTGAAGTCAGAGGAAAGGCAGGTGAGGCTACTTGTGGAGTGAAGAGTTAAAAAGATTTAAGACTGGCAGCAGCCAAAATCAAAATCCTAACTTTCGAAATCTAGGAAGGAAAATTGTCAAGCTCTCAATAGGCAGTCACATCTCCTTGATTCCCATAGAAATGCTATATACACACACACACACACACACACACACACACACACACACACATATGTGTGTATATATGTATATATGTGCATACATAACTATATATAACTATATATATATGTGTGTGTGTATATATATATCTATATATATATATCACCATGATTATCACTCGTTATCCACACTCATCTATTCTTAACACAGCATTAAATATAGTCCCTTATGTAATTGTATTATATCATTCATTGGAATAGAAATTACACGGATATATTTTATGAATGAAAACCTCCTATTTTTATAATGATGACTGATGTCCAGATACCTCTGGGGTACAGTCTTTATGACAGTTTGCTTACGAGAGCTTTATAATGATGTTCTTTTGGCTAGAAATCTCCTGGTGAGGTTAGAATAGTAAATTTATTTTTTCAAATCCTACTAATTTAGAATTGGGAAAAAATGCTTTTATTTATAAATATCTTACTTAGTTCTAATATTGTTTTTTACCTTGCTGCCTTAACTCATTTTGGAACAAGATTGGGGGTGGGGGGATACTAAACAAACAAAAAATAAAATTAACAAATAAATACAAAAGAAAAATAGAGCCAGGAGTGAGGGTGATTTTAAATAGCATGTACTATTTAGCAGGTTGAATGCCCTTCTAGACACTCATTTAATAAACACTCTCCAAGTAACTTTTCCCTCCTCGGCTTTCAGAGTGATATCCTTTTACTGTGGTCCTCCTCTCTATCCTCTTAATTAATTCCTTATTCCTTATTCCATACCTTAAGATGAGAAATCTTTTTTTTCTTACTTTAGAAGTTTAAAAAAAAGGGACTGAGAGTAATTCCTAAATACAGGAGCAAACTCTTTCCAAAATTCAAATTGTGCATTTCTGAAAGGCCACAGGATGTCGACACCTTAATGTTCTGCCAGCACCACGAACTTAAGTGACAAAACTGTTCTGTGCTGACTCACTTGAAATGCCATTCTCCAGAGTGCACTCACACGCTACAGACACAAAACTAGCTTGTTGTCTCCTTCACTTTACAAAGGTCACTGCCAAACTTCCAGTCCCATGGAAAAAGCAGCTTGTCTCATCCCTCACCAACCTCTCTGCTACCTTCTCCATCACCCTTATCACCAGCATAAGTAAAAGGTAGGTGGACATAACACGGGGTATGCTGCCACATGGACTCATATGAAAAAGACAAACAGGCTGTTGGTTTTTTTTTGTTTTTTTTTTTTAACGATAAGTTGGTGAGAGAACAAGTCAGGTTTAGAGAGAAAAAAGGAGCAAAAGTAGGCTAGCTTAGAAATGACAAAAAGATAAAAGCATGATTGCAAAAGATTAAAATATTCATAAAATAGTGCGACGTGCAATTCTATGACAACAAAGTGAGAAACTAAACCTCATACATTTGATTAGTGCCCTTGGTAAATAAATACATATTGACTCCACAAATAACTTTCCCAATTCTATTACTTCAGATGACTAATTGGTTCTAAATATAAACCAAAAAAAAAAAAAAAAAACCAAAAACATGGACATTGAAATTGCTTGGGAGCACTTATATGCTTATACTAATAATTTTGTTTTAGGTTTTAATCACTATATATCATAACTGTCATCAAAAAGCTATTGATTTTTGAACATTTATTATGTGCCAGACAGTACCTTATAGAGTAGCAAGGAGACAACCAATAATCTGAGGTGCTTAGAATACTGTTTTAAAGATGAAGAAACTGAAGCTTAAAAAGATTAAGTAATTTTTTTAAGCTAACAGTAGTTTCTTTCCCAATTAGATCACAAAGTGATATATGTCATTTTTGCTCATGGTGCATAGCTCAGACTAATCGCACAGCCGCAACCTAACTAGAAGAGAAGCCAGAGAATGTCTTCCTGAGTGCCCAAGAAAAATGAAATGGGATCTAGTGTCTCTGCGATAATGTTCTCCCTCACACAACTTGAAAAGCCTTGAGGAGGCTGTTTTATATGTGGTATGTAACTTTATTCAACAGAACACCTTTTGGAAAGGGCACTTTCTATATCTAGAACTATATTCTTAAGGAAATTGTGAGAGAAATGGTCATTAGTAACTTGTAAAGTAAATGAAAAGGAGAAATATTTGTCTTGCTTCCTAGAAGAATGATCAAGAACGAAGGATATATTTAACGACCAATTAGAACAAACCAAATCAGAACAAATACCACTCTAAAGAGCCGGTGTGGGCATAGGAACCCATTCTTGCTACCCAAGGAAAGGGGAGATGTAGAAAGGAGGATAGTCAGGGAGATGGCTCGAGACTGCCGAATAATGTGATTTCTCCCTATGGCCCCAAGTCTGGGGAGAGACTAGGTGAAACAGATTTATTTTTTTGTTAGTGATGAAATAGTTGCATATCTGGGTTGATGTCAGCTGCATCAGAAGCAGTAGGTTGGACTCAGGAGCCAGAAACCAAGGAGGCCGTGAGAAAGTAAACCTTAGGATACAACAGAAATCTAAAATATAAAACCTTGCTTTTCTCTACTTCTTAAACTAAAACCAATTATGAGTTCACATTCACAGGGACAATAAAGTAATTCACATCAGTCATTTCTGGGGGTCTTCCTCTTCAGGGTTTTGGAAAAGTCTCAGAGCATTATGCAGAGCCAAGTATCAGGGAGCTCCCTTAGGTCATCAGTCATCATTATTGGTCTATATTGGTCATTTACCCCAACCCCAGATGCCACTGCCCTGGGGCTCAAAACTTCAGAAGGGTAGATCTGCTTCTTCTATGCCTTATGTGAGGTCCTGGAAGCACTGGCCAGGTTGAGAGCCCAGGTCCAGTCTTTTGGCGCATCAGGGGGTTGCTCTTCTAAGCTCTGGCCACCTACCCAGGATACAGCCACAGACAGGAAGAGGTTCTGATGTACCTGAGAACCTCCGGCCTATAGCATCCCTTAGGTTGAATCTCTTCTCTCTTGCTACTGTCAGGGTACCATAGGCTAAATGTTTGTGCCCCCCTCTCAAATTCATACATTAAATCCTAACCCCCAATGTGAAGGTATTTGGAGGTAGGGCCTTTGGCAGATGAATAAGTTATGACGGGATTAGTGCCCTTCTAAAAGAAACCCAAGAGAGCTCTCTGCTCTCTGCCATCTGAGGATACAAGTTTGGCAGTCTGCAATATGAAAGAGGGCCCTCACCAGAACTTGACCTTGCTGGCACCCTGATCTCAGACTTCCAGACTCCAGACTGTGAGAAACAAATTTCTGTTGTTTAAGAGCCACTCATTTTTTGATAATTTATTATAACAGCATGAATTAAGACATAGGGGTTCCCCGATTTCCCCTTTCCCTCCAGAATGCCCTGAATAATCTCAGTAACATTGGTAGGTCTTTACAAAAGACAGGAAGATGCACTAACCTCACATACTGTCTGCTTTAGGTTCTTCAAAACTGCCTGAGAGAAGTAAATACTAAGAACTGGGCTGTGTTGAATGGTAGAGAAACAGTTATAATAAACAACAACCCGCTAGGCTGAGGGGAGTTCACCAGCATCCGGGATAGATGGTTTCCAGCCTGCTGACATCTCACACCTGGAGTTCCTGCTTCCCTGTTCTGTCAGAGTCTTTCTCAAGCACCCGACAGCCAGCTCAGCCTCAGTGCACCGGGAAGTGCTATGGAGTTGACAAGCCCAGGACCAATCTCCAACTGATGGGGGCTGGGAGTCAGTAAATGTCTCAACTCCCTATCCTCTGGCAGGACAATTCTGACAGGTGTACCACAAAGTACCTCAGGTAGTTACAGGCGCATCAGCTCCCAACTGCCCAGATGGGATCTGCTCATCAATACACCTTGTACTGGCTTTTCTTCTTCCCTGTCTCACCTTTCTCAGTTTCTCAGCTGTGCTTCTTGGGATCGATTCCCAAATAAAGTTCTCCTGGCAGGGTCTAATGTGAACTAAAACAGAGGGAAGTTCAATATTTCACAATGACAGGCTTGTTCACATACATCTGTACTGCAGTGGACTTTGCTGAGAGCTTCATTGAACCAGGTTAAAAGAAGTTCTACAATCAGAAACCCTTGGATTATACCAAGCACCAACTTTCATTCTTTATCTCTGTACCTCTACATCGCCTAGCATAGAACCTTGCCCACATTAGACACACTACTAAATGCCACTGGAATTCAATTAGATTTTAATTCACCATAGCTATAATGGAAACTCGAATGTTCCCTTTAAATGAACTGGCACCAGCACAGATTCAAAATCAGACTTTGAATCACTATTTGCAGCACAAGCAAAATGTGAACCTTAAAAGGGCACTGTGCAGGGATAGTGGATGTTCTTTGTAACTCGTCACAGTACTCAGAAACACAGATGGCTGAGGTCAATGCTGTTAGTTCATAAATGAGTTCAAGTGGGCAGCATTTCAATGACGGTAGATGGTGTGTGTACATTAAAAGAGGCTCCCCCTGCCCATCCCCTCTAGAATCGTCACATCCTTTGCCACCAGCAGTAGCTCCACAATGGTTAGTTACCTTTAGAGAATAAATACCGGCTCATTGACATTCTTTCAATATGAGCTCTCCATGAGCCATTGCTTCCACAATTTTCTGATATGATGAGAATTTATATTCATAATGATGAGACAGAAGCACTAATTGCATAATCCTCGAGTGCTGTCATCAAAGAAAAATTGAATTAAGTTTGTTTAATTGTAGTATCATTCTTCAAAAATTGGCAGTCCATCTGTGGGCAACCTCTCAATTAACCAAGACATTTTATTAATAGCGAGCCCCTGAGTGTGCTGAGCAATCTGAAGTACACAGGAATTTATAGTCTACATCACTCAAGGCATTGACGACCACACCAGGCACTGCTAATAGTCCTGTCTCCCTGCCCCATGACTAGTGTGTAGCTCCAGTCTTTCAGCTCAGCATCCCGAAAGCAAGGAAAGGCTGAACAGAGGACACTGGAGTCCATAATAGCTTGGACTTTGGAGTCAGACACAAGTCTGTAATCTTTGTTTCCACATTTAAACTAGCTCACTCTAACCTAATAGATATTTGACAAATAAAAGTGAGCATAATTTTCATGGCCTTTTTAAATACCAAGAAAAGAGTCTCAGGCACTTTGTGGCACTCCAGAAAGTGCTTCTCATCCCTCACTGCATTTGAAGCATGGGATTCATTTTGGACTGGTCTTACTAAAGGAAAAGTCAGGAAAGTTTCTCCTTACTCCTGATGCTCTCGGGTCTCCCACTCAGCTATCTCTTCACTCTTAATCTTGAGTGTTGCCCAGTCGTGGTCAGGGAGTACAAACGTGGGACTCAACTCCAGGTGAGGGAAGGGTCTGTGTAGCATAGTTCAAAATTAAACCTCACTGTTAACCTTTTCCAGATGAAGACAGGGATTCATGTTTCATTCCTGTTTACGTCTGGACTTGAGACAGGAGTTGAGGATGGCAGTAGGTGAAGGGGTGACAGAGAAAGCCAATGAATGCCTACCTGATGGAATCATGAATCTTTGGACATATGTTCTCCTGGATTCTTTTTCTTCCTGATTCTAATACTACCTCCACTTTCTTCTAGTCTTACTTCCTATCTCTATTCCCTCCAAGAGATAAATGTGGAAGAAGAGAGATTTGAGGCGGTTTTTGTTTTGTCTTGTATTTACATTTAAGGATGAACTATTTATTATGTGCCAGGCATCATTCAAGATATTTTCATGTCATAATTTAACGCCTCTGTTTACATTCAAACCCCATTTTCCTTCTTCTAAATTTAGTATCATTTTCTCTACCTAAAATTACTAAGAGGAGGTTAATCAAATTTAACTAGTAAAAATGCTCTTGTACTTCTTTTGTCCAAGTACCCAGTTTTAGGTCAAATCCAAAAGCAACTATTGAATTCAAAAGAACCAAATACATATACAAATATATCATGCTCAATGAGCAACAAGAAATGGTTGAGAAAAAATTAATACTGTAGCTATGACTGGTACTCAGATAAGGTACCCAGAATGCCAGAATGGCTAAAATTTTGGTTTTAGTTAGGTTGCCTGATTCCATCAATCACTACTTAAACTTTCTAAGCCTCAGTTTTCTTATCAAAGGGACATGCAATAATGCTATGCCATAGCACTGATTAAATATTCATGAGATAATGTATATAGAACACTAAGCATAATCCTATAATAAATTACTCATTAAAAAAAGACACTGATTCAGAGTATAGTTATTTCTTTCTCTTAAGTCACATTTTCCTTCTCCTCATTTTCATTTAATGTAATTTATACTTAAATTTAATAGCCTTCTTTCCTCCTTGATTTACTTGTGTTCTCTGTGTGTTATCAATTAGAACCTCAGCTATTCTGGGAAACAAGGCCTGATTCACGGTGGATATTGCCACTTTCCTCGATAGTAATTACGCTAACAGCAGTGGCCCCTCTTGAACCTTTCTAGAGCTGTCTTCAAAGGCACTGACTGACTAGTTTTCTCCAGGCGGTTGCATCCCAATTATGCACCTTCCTGCCTCAGTCACTCTTGCTCTCGACATGGTGTTAAGCAACCAATACCCTCGGGCTTCATAGGTCAGTTAAGCCAGCCTAACATGCTGCCCAGCTTCAGCTCAATTTGAGAAATTAAAGGGTAGTGAGGAAATAGGAAGTTGATAAAGCTACAAAGGACGAAGGTTTGACATAATCCACACATAAAGATCAATGAAGAAGGTGAACGGGTGGAAGAAAATAGAATGTAGCCAAGACAGAGAAGAGCAAATTTCTGTGTTGTTTTTCATTTTGAGAACTATTTTTACAATCCCAAAGGAAACTTGGGAATTATAATCCCAACGTGGAACTTGCCAATGAATATATGATCAAATCAAATTTGGAGTTTATTTTTAATCATTCAATATTTATTGAGTGTCTACTATATAACGGGCACTCTTCGAGATGCTGTGATGTAACACTAAACAACATAAAAATCTCCACCACTGGAGAGCTGAAGCGGGCTGCCTGCTAACATTTGATCAATTTAGCTTTCTTCTTCTAGTCCTGTGGGTCTGAAAATATCATGGGTTTTAGAGAGGCCAAACGATTCTCACTTCCTCTTTTGCTGATTTTTTAGCAGGAGGTTCTTAAAGGAGCCACACTTGTGCATAAAAAAGATATTGCAAATACTAGAGAAGGAAAAAACTAGAAAGGTTGGATAAAGAGTTTCATAAACTAGAAGATACACAAAGGCAAGCCTGTTTAACCAGAAAATGTGTTGATAATATTAAATGATAGCTAGGCCTTTTGAAACACTAAATATTTGTGATAGGGTTAAAAAGCTGAAGAAATTAAGATGTATTTAGCGCTTTGCCCAAGATAACTCATTTAAAAGTCAGGGGACAATGTGGACTTTTCTTAATGAAAGCAGCAGCTCTTGATTCATTTTATGTTAGAACCTAGAAAAAAAGAGTAATACAAGTCTGCCCTTTGATTCTCCACAGAACTGAGGATAAAGATGCATGTTGATAGTAGACTAGTGACACATTATTAATGTCTAGAGATTTTACTCAGAAAAGCCTATTTAAGAATTGAAAGATCAGATGACCTCACAAGCAATTGTCAAGAGAATGGTGTTTAGCGATTGTGTTATCTTTCCTCCTATTTATTACTATACAAAAGAGTAACTGATATCAGAAATCCTATTGTAACCAAATAATTATAAATTACTAGATATTTTCAAACTTTCCCTTCTCTAGATCCCAGCTTCCATGCCCAGACTGTATTTTAACTTTTATAGTATCATGTAGCTCCCTTAATAGCAATTAGTATGGTTATATTTTTATATTGACTTCGGTAGTTATTTGTCCTTTTTTTCCTCTACCAGGAAAAAGTGGCACAAGAGCTGTGATCAAATCATATTTTTACTTATTACTGAGTCACCAGCACTTAGCACATAGTAAGGCCTTATTATTTGTTAATTGAATGAACATTCAACCTTTAAGTCTGTGCAGTTTGTTATGTTTCAAATACAACATTATGATGGGCAAAGCTGGTGTGCATAAGTCATGGGGAATTGGGAAAGGGGAAGCAGAATGACATTATCTATAATAAGTAGCAAACTATGCCTGTGAGAAAGTCCAATTCAAATTCCAGTGAGGATAAATTCATAAAGTCATATGTGCTGATGTCAGCTTCTTCGGCAGTTTTCAGGCTGACATTATCAATAGTCATCATTGTCATCATTATTTCAAGCTGTTTCTGTGCTAGGTACCTTACATATATCATTCTTAACCTTACATATATTATTCCTTCTTAGGCATGATTACCGCCATTTTAAAACTGAAGAGATTAAAGATGTCAGAAATCAAACTCAATCCTGTCCCAAAGATACTATACTTTCTCCCCAAGACTGGCTCAGGAATCAATCTTTTTTTCTGTGGGATGTCTTCTAAAAAATTTACCATCTTAGATTTCACAGCAACACAGTTTCACCTCTCCATCTGATTTGGTTTGAACCTAAACCTACTGGCACCCATTAAAGTCATCTTGTTATTTTGTTGTTGTTTTTTGTTGTTGTTGTTGTTTTTAGTTTCTTTCTGTGATATATTAGTTTCTTATAGAGTTCTGTTCTGACAGCTCTGGCTACTCCAGCAAAAGAGTAAATGTAACGGACAGCCTTGGGAGGAATACCCTACGGTAAAGTGCTGAAATCATTCTTCTTTTGACTTCCAGGATAAAGCCAGCTTGAGAATATCATTCTTCTCTTACTGGAAGGCCATAGAGTATAAAAGAAGGAATCTTTTTGTTAAAGAATTCTTTTAAAAGCATAATTCGTTTTTGTTTTCATGTATGGAAAGTTCGATGGTTCAATAAAGTGCCAAATCTTAAAAATATTTATGTTGTACTTTCCCATCTCTAGGCACAATTATTTGCATAATAGAAACTTCGTAAATGTTTATTGAATCTGTTTTTTTTAGATGATTATATAGTTTAGGGAGAAAGGAAGATCCAGTTTGAAGATGATAATGAAGAGTTAAGGAACAGGCCTACAAGATTTGATGGCAAGTAACTACTGAAATTGAATGGAATTATGCAAAGGTGCATGGCTCTACTTAGTCTGTGCCAAGGTACCTTAGTGGGCACTGATCTACAATGTCAAGGCCCAAAGACCATCTGAACAGGCTTGGAGAGGCTAGCATTTAATTTAATGTTCTTTATCTTTACTCTCATTAACAGCTGGCTTTGGGGAAATGATGTTCCTCATTGAACCATGCATACATGAAACATCCAGTCCCCTATGGGTGCCCCAAATAGAAAACTTGGGAAATCGAGCTGGGTTCAATGCAGATTGCATAAGTCAACTAGTTTATCCTGATTGTCAAGAGTAATTTTTTCCTCTTTTTTTTGGATTTCAGCATCTAGCATATAGGAACAACTAGCTATACACTTTCCATTTCCATCGAACTTAAAAATCTTTGGTTCTTTACCAAAATATTGTTAAATATAATAAGTAAATGACCTGAAGAACAGAATCATCTCTTGGACAACATTTTAAGCTCCTCATTTTAAGGAAATCCAATTTATGAGATTCTGAGATTTCAACCCAAAACCTGTGTTTTAATTATGAGTTGCAGGAAGGAGTGGAGGGCTTATTAAATTACTAATCTGTTCTATTACGCACGATTCTCTGAAGGTTTCCTTTAAATAGTGCACTAGTGCATTAAAATATGGAGTAGGATTTAATGGCATGGATGAAATTAATATAGTGTCCCAAGGCTCCTTCTTTCAAATACTTGACCTCTGGATTCAATTCAACGAGCTTACAGGAGGGCCTGGCTCTTGTAAATACTGGAGATATGGGAAGTCAGTGCGTAACAGTGAGTTGCCTCACCTCCCAAGGACACAAAAATATATATGCTTTCCTTTTGTTCTAAATGGTCTTGGATTCCAAGACCAGCAACCGCAATTTAAAAGAATCCCCAAGTGAATTAATCTTATTGTTTTAATACACTAGATGAAGCATTCACTGACATGAAATCAGAGCTTAATTAAAACTGAAGCGTAGATGAGCTGGAACTGAAAAGAGAGGAAGCATTATTAAAACC